AACGTCGTCAACGGCGTCAACGGCGTCCACGGCGTCCACGGTGTCCGCGGCGTCGGCGGCGTCCGCGGATAGTTCAGACTACAGATGACAAGGTGAAACGCAGAAGGGTTACTAGTAACCCTTGTGGCTACATTGGGAATCCCAGACCCCTAGGCCTTCGACCTTACCCTAAACCCCAAGCCTTAAACACTAGACCCCAAACCCAAAATCATGAGCCCTCAGGCTGCAGATTGGGGTTTCGGGTTTAAGGGTTTCAGTGGTTTAGGGTTTCAGGGTGTAGGGGTTTCAGTGGTTTAGGGTTTCGGGGTTAACGGTTGAGGGTTTCAGTGTTTTAAGGCGTTAGTGGTCGCTTCGAAGTACCCGGCCGCCCGCAATTTCAAAGGAGAGTGCCGCCGGGACCACACTGGGTGGCTCCCAAGCATCGAAGAAAACGGAGGGCTGCAGGTTTGCAAGAACTGAAATACCCAGAGTGCATGTTTGATGTGAAATTCCGCTGCCCTCCCAGGAACTAACATGGAAACCCCCAACAGGCCCTATAAAGACTACTGTCCTTTTAAAAGGGAACTATATGGGTTTCCATGCTAGTTTGGGCGAGTGTATACATATTGCAGCACGCAATGACGGAAACCGGGAGTTGCAGGTACTTAGAAGGTCCTGGGGGCTTAGTAGGTAGGTTCATACTGGGGATCATTGGGGGTACTCAATGGGTTATAGGAATACGAACCCTACATACTTGGTCCCCCTGACCCTCCAAGTAACCATTCAGAACCTCGTTATAGTACACTTCTGGATCCTTTCCAGGTATGAGTTCAAATGATTGTGACCCATACTCCCTACATATTCCCTATAGCGCCATAAGAATTTAATCGTCCTAATGAAAAAGGGGTTCTCCAAATTCCGGATTGCAGCACTTGAATCCAGGAACCCCGATAATCCTGTAACAATTGAAAGTTGTCAAACATTCCCATAACGTTTTTAATAAAGCTTCTAGAGCTCGGCGCGAAGACGTGAAACGCGCGAAGCGCGTGACGACTTTAACGTCGTCAACCGCGTCAACGGCGTCAACGGCTTCAACGGCTTCAGTCACAACAACGGCTTCAACGGTTTCAACGGCTTTTCAAACTCACGGCTTCAACGGCTTCAACGGCTGCAACCAGAATTACGTATGGCCTCTGGACATCTCTGATCTTTCGTATCCATTCAGGGTGCGCTCTTCTGCCCTGATACTCAGAACTCCCTGATGATCCAGAGCGTTCGCAAGCTTGTAACCCGTGGACCAGAGATTTGCCGTAGATTATGGGTTCATAACCTGTCTGCGATCTAGCCCAGTATATACACCGGTATATAATATGTACATGTAGTAGTTTCCATTTTCTTTTCCATTCCCCTAGTGGTGTAGTAGCAAATAAGACACGCCATTAAGAGCTTCAGTTGGGGTTCCAGGCCTGCAATGCTGGGTCGCGAGTCACATGGTTAAGGCATAGGATTTAGTAGCTGAGAGTTTAAGGTTGAGGGTTTAAGATTGAGGGTTTAGGGTTCAGGGTTTAGGGTCATGACACATTGAGGAGCTCCATTTGCTGAGGGAAGGGAAACTACTAAGTTTGGGTTACCGTTTTGGTTGTTTTCCAAGACAGGGAATATATAAGGATTACTATAGGGATCCAATCCAGTCCTTCATTCCCTGCTAGCCAGTGGTAAGTTGCCGGCAAGTGTGGATCAAGGTAACATGTGTGCTACAGTTTGGCAGGGTTAGGCTTCAGGGTTTAGAGCATGGATGTTGCTGCCACTTTGCTGTTGTTATTCATGCTGCTGCTCCGATTTACTTGTGGCAGGTTCCCGCGCAGAATTGGGAACCCACCTGAGTGTGGGGTCACGTTCACTTGTGTTAAAACATGCTCCTTTGCATTTCTCAAAACCATCTATATATGTCTATATCTGTATATATATATATACACGTGTGTATATATGCACATATATACATATGTATTTGAAAATAGATGTATAGTTATTCTCCCACGTACGGACCCGAGAACTCCTTGTAATCCTCGCAACTGTACACTGGCCTTTGAAGTTGTTCGAGTTTCTCTGTTTGGAGACTCGTGTAGGCTTTGGGGCGGGGTTATAAGTTGGAAAATTTACTCCCACTCCCTGTTATTCAGCCCCCCCACCCCCATGTAGTGTTTTTGTTGGGAATGCTGAAGGGGTGGGGGCTTTGGATATTAGGGGGAGCGGGTCAATCCCCCCTCTAGGTGCCCATGAGCATCCAAGTCCTGCTTGATTCACAACTTCCTTTGGGTTTCGGGATTAGGGCTTCAATTTCAGCACACGCACCCAATCATGACCCTAAACCCTGAACCCTAAATCCTGTTTGTGCGAGGTGGTAAAGGACCTTCTCTCGCAGGAGCCAGGCCAATCGCCTTGAGGTTCAACTTCAGGCGGCTTGGGCTTAACGCAGGGGTTGAAAATGAGACGGAAATTGTGTTAGTAAGGGAAATGTATACCCTGTTATCAATAGAGGGATCATGGAGAATCAAATGGAAAAGAAAGTGGAAGATGAAATGGCAACTGCGGTCATTTTGGTTCATGTGGGTTATGTAATATGCAGGCCTAATGACTTACCACTACCCTAAACCCTCATTATATGAAAGCCTAAAATCCCAATAGATCTAAGGGGAGCCAGGATCTTGGGGCCTAAACCCTAAACCCTAAACCGCTAAGTATAAAAGGAGCCGGGGACTGGGGCTTTGGTAAGTATTTTCGGCTAAAACAACATTTTCGGGTAGCTGGGGGGTTAAGAAGCCCTAAGGGTCCAAGGACCCAAATAATGGGGTGTTAGGGCCCAAATACTATACTATTCATGGTATTTGGGACCTAAAACCCTATTATTTGGGACCTTGGACCCTTAGGGAAGCAGACATGGGTGTTGAGGAGTTTTGCGTTAAACGGCCGCTGAGGTTTTAGGAGAGACGGGTGAGTTGAAATGTTAAACGCGGCTCTCCTGATCTGTGCTGGGAGATGTTTGCCCTAAACCCTAAACCTGAAGCCCTGAACTTGAAACCCTAAAGCCATAGGCTGCTAAAGACATTTCGAGCCAAGTTTAGTCGGCCCGGGGACGGAAGAAGATACATGTGGCCATTCCCTAAGGCTCCAAAAAACCATGGAGCCCTAGGGATTGTCCAATCCTCAAAGCTAGAAACCGTAGGGTTTAGGACTTAGGAGTGTCAAGATTTGAAGCACAGACTTGCAACCAGTGGGTTTTGGGGTTACGTGATACTGAAGCCTAGAACTTGGTGTAAGTTGAGAACGGTTTTAGTTCTTGTTGCGGTAAAGATCCAATGAGGAATGTGGTGAGACTTATAATTTAGGAGGATTCCTCCACCCAGTAATAGTGATATATGAGGAACACGAAGGACCCTAATACAATCCTTAATATCCCTTATGGCCACTTTTTGGGGGGTGGGGGGGCCGTCTAAAGTATCCCATAATGAGTAGCCAGGAAAACACTAGGAGGGAAGCCCCGCTCTTCGTGTATCGCTTTAGGGTTTTGGCTTTGGGGCTTAGGGTTTTGGGTTTTTGGTTTAGGATTTAGAGTCGTCTGCCCTCCGAACTCCTCATCATTGTAATGTAGGGAACTCAAGAAGTACCAACAATAGAGAGCCAACTGGACAAGAACAGGGAAAATTCAACGAGCATTTGGAGCCTATCGTAGGTTTTTCAGCCATTTGGAATTAGCAAGGCTGTTCCTTCATAAATCGAATATGCGCTGCGGTCAATTCTAGGCTTATCACGGGACAATTACGGGTGGACATCGGGGTCACTGTGGTAGTTCAGTACAGTGCCTAATAAATTCCCCAGGGGAACCCATGTCTATTAACTATGTGAGAAATATTGACTGCAGCTCATGTGACTATAGTTTTAAAAGGTACCTCAAAGCCGTATGATACTTCTGTGAGTCTCGATATCGCGCTGGGGACAGGAGGTGGTCTTTTCGATCTTTGTCAAAGGGTTCTTACCTGAATTGTCCTGTTGTGGGCATTTGCTGTCTTCATTTCAGGATGCTGGGGGTCGATTTTCACCAGTCGCTATAATTGCTTTTAGATTTCTAGCGTACCTGAGCTATTGTCAAAATTAGGGTAAGAGGGTGGTTTTGCTGATGCTTTAGTGTAGTCCACATATTTTTCCAAAAGGAAACCATGTCCATTCATTATGTGAGGATCCTTGACTGTGGATCATAGCAAGGACAGTCCCAAATTTAGGAAGCCCCGATCATAGTGAAAGCCCTTTAAAGGCAGGGCCCAGACCCCACCCAGACATCAGTTCATGTAGGAGCCTGACTCAAATTCTTGAAGGATATTAATGAAGCGATATTGGCAGTTTTCGGGCCTCCACACTCAACACTGTTTAAACCAACGCATAGTCCAAGTTTCCATGTGCTTTTACATGTGATTCTCCATCATCGGCAAGTCTTCTGGCTTCTTTCTTACACGTGGTAGGTACTTTGCTGGGCAGGGTTTGTGTGGAACATTTGGGAGTTCCTCGAAGTTGCCCATGCGGCGGATGGAGGAAATCTGGCGCTCTTTTACGACCTCCAGAATACCGTAATTCCGACCAGTGGGTCATGGGGTGCATGATGTCGAACAAGATATGCTCCATGAACAGCACTAGAATCCTGAATAGGTACCTCCACAGCCCTTTGCGATCCCCAATATTCCCTTTGACCCTATGAGCTGTAGTCTAAATTCCTTAAATGGGGGTTATATTGGGGATTATATAGGAGACTACTATAGGGGCTATTAAAGCGGATACTAGGAGTTTAGACAATGGCGCCTATAAGTATTTCCATTTAGAGAAACGTCGACATCTCACCATCGAGGTAGCAGGTTGCCAAACTCCCCACCAGCCTAAAGGCTTGAAGCTCCCCATGCGAGGCGAAATTTTCATGGGGCCAAATGGAAACTACTATAATGGGGTTATATAGGGATTATAGAGTATATATTGGGGCTATATTGGGATAATGGAAAATGAAGTGGAAACTGCTATAGTTATATACGCATGTCATGGGGAATGAACGTCCAAACTTTAAGCCCTCCACCCTTCCCCGCTTGCTGAACCGAAACCCAGGACTCCTTGCTGCACTGGAGTAAAATAACACTGCTGCTGCTGCTGAGTCCTCATGCAGAACTTGAGAAATACGCCTGCTCAGGTGAAGAAGTCTGCAGCGTCATACACTTACCGGTGGTGCGGAGGGAATAAGGCAATATACTCCCTATATAATCCTTGTAAAATATTCCTTATTCCAGACCAACTATCAGCAATACATTCTTGACGACCGCGTGACAGACAGCTGACTTCTTGGCCGGCCTTTCGCCAACAGGGAGTCCGGTAGGAAACTATCCTATCACACTCGGTTTGGGGCTTGGGGTTTTGGATTTTCGGTCATACTTTCTATCTCAGGGTTTTCATATGTTTAGGGCAGAACGCGTCTAAGGGAACAGATAGGGAAACGTCCCACCCTGAGTGTTCCAATCCCTCGTAGTTATGCTTTGTTGGTCCCCTGCAATACTGCGATAAAAGAGTTTTGCATCCTCTGGGATTCTAGTTGTGTAGTCTGCTTTCTGAGGCAACTTGTGACCACTGTAGTATCTTCAGCTAGTTTGTAATGCCCTGATAGGGCCACTATTGCAGTCCATACACTTGCAGACACTACAATGTCATCAAGTTCCCAGAACCCTAAAGCGGTCAAGTCCACCCGAGGCCCTACTTCCAAACTGAGACGTTGAGCTTTTTTGTGTAACACGAGTGGGTAGAAGGTTCTAAGTAGAAGCTGGGTACACCGAAACAGGGTATGGTAGAAGCCTCGGGACACTAGGCCTTCCTCAGCTCTTTTGACCCCACCTCATCCCAAATTGATGGGAGGTTGTACTTGTCGGGACCTGGCGGGGGCCGTAGGAAGTGAACGTACAACACCTATGAGCCATGTGGTAGTACCAGTTACCTGCAACTGCAGCTTCTGAATACTGTAGCTACACACATGTTCAGATATGATTGCCACGAGTGGGAAGCTCTAGGGATCCAAGTGTGCAAATAGTGCCTACGTTACATTGCGCCCTAAAGTCTGTAAGTAGTACCTACGTTTGGCTGCTTGGAGCCCTAGGAAAGGGTGACCCTAAATCCCTAAACCCTGAACCCCAAAGCGTAAGTATCTCTTCGGAGAGTTTGTTACATCATCTCACAACCTTTTCTTGAGGGTTCCTTCGTCCCATCAAGGCCGCTACCCTCTTAGGGTTAAGGTTTTGGGTTCAGGGTTTAGGGTTTGGTGAACCACCCCTCAGCCCTGAACGCTACATCCTGGAAGCCCTTGACTACCTGGAGTGGTGCTGGCCTAGCTTTGCAATATCCCGGCGGAAACGCCTGCGCAAGTTGCTCCAAACCTTCCAGGGAGTTCCTTAAAAGGGGGATCCTGCGGGCAAGCTACAGCTAACCTAGGGAGAATCTAAGGGGGTAGTTTTTTAGGGTTTTGGGTTTTGGGGGGTAGTTCTGGGGGTGTAGAGGGTTTTGTGGGTTTAGGGCTTGGGGACTGGGACATAGCTGCAGGCCGAATAAGACATAAGGAATTTTCGAAAAAGTAGGGGTCAACCCCAAAACCCTAAAGATCCAGACCCTTTCAACCCTTTGAAGGTGGTCAACACCTTGGCCTCAGCAGCGCGTGCGGGATCCTAAACCCCCAGACCCAAGGCCTATGTAAACCCTCCAAGCAATAAACCCGAAACGCAAAATCTAAAACTCTTCCCCTAGGGATCCAAGTGTACAAATAACACCAACATTGGGCCCCAAAGTCTGTAAATCTTACCTGCATTGAGCTATTAGGATCTCTAGGGTTCATGTAGCTTCGATTTTTGTTGCAAAAGGATTTCCGTCTCCACTGAGCCGATTTCTACAGCCATGAGCTCATTCCTAACAAAACTCATCGCTGGAGCTGCATGGTAACATGCGCTATACAAGGAAGAGTGTGTAAAAACGCGTCATGTCTTTCTAAGGGTCCAAGGACCCAAATCATAGGGTTTTAGGGCCCAAGTACTGTTGGCCCTAAAGCCCTATTATTTGGGTCCTTGGACCCTTAGGGTCTGGGTATGGATTCAGACGGTTCCGCGCGGGACATTGCCGAATTTACACCCTGCATGGTCCATCTGTTTTTGCGCCCAGCGTTTTCAAGCTTTGCTTGAGTCTACATGCCGTTTCTTGGCGCCTGGGTGGTTTTCAGATAGTGGAGTTGCATGCTCATAACACCAGTTTTAGATGCCCTTCCATTTTTCTTTCGGGCATGGCTGATGGGTGAATGTTGGAGAGCCTTACCTGCTCCCATGTGTTGCAATTTGTTGGTCTGTTGTAGACATTAGGGCCCAAAACAGCTATAGTTTCCAA